AGGAGGTATTGAACTGCAATTCCCTGCACATAATAATATGGGGTTAGAGGTTCTGGAGGTTGTTTCCTCCGATTTGCCCTCCAACGCTCAAGTCAATGAATAGTCTGATAATCTGAAAAGAAAAGCAGAGTATAGTCTTTAGGGGGTTTTTATGCGTACCTTAAAATAGTGGAGATGACATTATTTGTAGGAATTTTGTAAGGGTATTTTAGTAATCTAACCGACTAGCTGAACTGACAATGCGCAATCATTTTACACTTGTCCGCAGCTGGTTGGTTGGAGGCCGAGAGCTTAGAATGTCGAGAATGCGAGCATCATCTGAGGAGTCATTACGACGTCTAGCCATACATTAAGTATGTTGAAGACTATGTGGTGGTGCATGGTTGTCAAACCACTCTACATTAAATTAGAACACTATTGACAAGACCACTAGTCATTTCTCATATTGGACTCTACATTAAATTAGATGCCTCTCGACGTGACCTAATCTCAGTGGATAGATTTTGAATTGAAGACGCCTTTCGTCTTGAGCTCGGGTTACATAGATGAGTCGACTAGCTCGTAGCTTAGACTTGGGTTGTCTTTGTTAACCACATGTTTTGTCCTTCTAAGTTTAACATGTGGCCAGTTTAAGGCATAGTAATTTTCATGGTATAACATTAGCCCCCAATTACGCTCAGACTCGGAGGGCCGAGTTCAAGAGAAATTGAGTCGTTCTAATCTTTCTGCTATCCCAGGTATCTCAACAACCTTTATTAGGGAACAACTATTTTCTGACATCAACATAGATTGTGCAGCAGAGTGGCGCTTCGGTTGATGAGACATCATTTTGGTTTTCAAAATCTATTAGCAGTTCCCTTGAATCATGTCAGCTAATTGGATTGCGCCATGTGGTTGCTACTTCTGCCTATTTATATCTAGCCCCTCCAATGTCTTCTCATTTTCCAAAGAAGTTTTGCATTGATGACAAGAATTCATCTTTTTCCTTCGAAGTTCTTTGCTGCTCTTTGATCAACATCTTTGATTGCTCCGATAGTGTCTGGCAGCCAGCCTTCAGTCACTCGCAACAAGGCCAGGATCCTCTTCTACAGAAGCTTAAGTCGACGATAGCCCAACCTCACTTTGAAAAAATTGATAAGAACTTTGATATACTCAGCAGCTTACTTTGTCTGTTCTGACAAGAGAGCACACAGTTTATCATCATTGCAGCGATTTGACATTGGTGTATTACCACCATTTGGATTTTGGCCTTCGTTTTCCACTGTGTCCTTTGGCGAGTGTTCGGAGTTTTGGGGATTTTGCTAGTGCAATTGAAGCCAAACTCCATTGGCTTCCTCATCGGCTTCCTCGTCATCTGGCATAGAGTTCACATGGAACCGAAAATGAGGATTCTAGGTCACTTGTTCTGCCCAAATCTAGCAAGAGTAAAGACCACTTTTATTTGCAGATGACCAGTAGCTATTGCGTAGTCTCCAATATCCCTGGCATGAATAAGGTATGGAAGGAGAAGTTCTTCTTTATTTTTAGTGCCGACCCAATCACAACCTATTCCACGTGGCTGGAGATAAGGAAGGAGGCTCTAAGGGCAATTCCACTCTTAGGGATCAAAAGGTTCAGTTTGGAGAAGATATAAGGGTTTCCGTCGTAATGAGAATTTGTTCAATAACACCATGCGCCAAGCTGTCGGTGTCTCTCATGTTCCTGCTACTAAGATAAATTTGGATTGGGCCACTCTGCTGGATTTAGAAGCAGACTCTATGATAATCACATTTTATTATAATTTTATACCCTCATTATCTATTTTATATGAATAAATATGCCACTAATAATTATTTTTATCTTTAAATACAGGTTAATGAAGAATAAATCCCAAAAAATCCCATCTCTCAACAAAGGCCTCTTGAGTAAATGAAGAAATGAAGCAAAAGAGAAATCAAGAAGCCCATTGGAAAATCAAATTGTCAATTTATCCAAAAGCCCATTGATTTAATGAAGAAAACAAGTATGAAGCCCTAAGCCCAAAAGCTCAAAGCCCAAAGCCAATACAAGAGGAAATCTGCGGATGGCAAAAGGAAGAGGCTGGGTATTGATACCAGCATCGATGCTGGCATCGATACCCGTATCGATATCAGCATCGATGCTGGTATCGATACCTACGAGACTGTAGCACGTTCTATGGCTGAAATTTGCTTGTTTTGGATAAGTATTGATCCAATGGTTCACATTCATTAATGTTTACTATAAATAGGAGTAGAGAGTAAGGGGTTAGAGGTGTGAAAAATTTTGTAACTCTATTTGGATAGGAGGGTTACTCTTAATTGAGAAGACTTTCCAAATTTGTAACTTTTGTTATAATTAATAAAAAAAATTCTTCACTTTAAATTTTTCTTTTCTCTTCTTTGTTGAATGATGAGGATGGAGATGAAGAGTAATTTGAAGGTTTGCATTTCTTTTATTTTTCTCTTTTATTTCTTTTTAGCAATTTCTTTATTATTGTTTATTTGTTAGATTTATATTCATACTTGTAGTGTAGATTTATTTTCTTGTCTTTTTATTTCTTTTTGCACTTTAATTTGTAGAGTAGATTTATTTTCTTGTATTTAATTTTTACAATTTATTTTATAGTTTAGATTTTAATTCTTTGTAGTTAGATTTATTTCTTGTTCATAGTTTAGATTTTTCTTTTTATTTTTGTAATTAGTTCTTTTTTCTTCTTGCTTTTATTTCTTAAGATGTGAAATTAACTCTTGTAGTAATCTTAGAATTGTATGAAACTAGTCTAATTTCCTTTATGTTATGCAAATTATTCTCTTACACTTAAAATGATCATGTATAGGATAATCAACTAGAGAACTAATTGATAGAAGAAGAATTTGATAATTTATGTTTATCTTGAGCGGTTTGATAGGTTATACTTATGAATTCTAGGATTACTATCTTGTTGTTGTTCTTATCATGATTTTTTGATAATCACATTTTATTACAATTTTATACCATTATTATCTATTTTATATGAATAAATATGTCACTAATAATTATTTTTATCTTTAATTGTAGGTTAATCAAAAATAAAAAGCCTAATATCTCTTCTCTCAGCAAAGCCCATGAATTAATAAAGAATATATGTAAATACATGAAAGAGCCCAAGCCCAAGTCCAAAAGTCCAAAGCCAAAGCCA